CATATGCATTGGCAAATCAAAAAACTACAGATTGGGCAGGAAAATTTATCTTCAACTCCCTATTTGTGTTTCAAAATTGATGGAGGATGTGTTGGCTGAAACTTTATGAAAATCAACCTTCTGAGCTCCATACTCAGCTACTTTTATGTCAGCATCTCCATCTTGCACTACCTGTGACTTTGCAACAGCTATTTCAATTTGCCCTTGACTAGTGGCTGTCTTACACCTTCAATGAACGGTGTACTAATATATCATACAGTCACCATTATTAATTTGGGTGCCTCAATTTAATTTGAGGCTGTATAAAATAGCACTTGCATTTGCTGTGACAGTGCATGTGGTGCATGTCCTTGGACTTCAGACAACCCAGGTTAATCTGCACAGAGAGAGAAGATCCATATTAACAATGTTTCATTCCTAACAATCATTCATATTAATTACCTTTTCAGTAACACAGCAACACAGCTAGCACATGACAGATAAACAAATGCTCAACAACTTTTAATAAAAACTCAGTATAGATATCATTGGCTAACTGTTAAAATCAGGAAATGAAATCTGTTCTTGAAAGGACAATAATAGAGACCCTTACCATAGATGCTGTGGAAGCCCATATCCTTAGCCTTTTATACTTCTAAGAATGCAAGGCAGCAGACATGTGACACATCCATCTCTATTTCTGATGGTGTTCTTAGCAGCCAGGAGTCCCCTTCTGTTGCTGATCATGTCTGGTTGCTAAATGCAATTCGATTTACTTTATGCTCTTTGTTGTGCAAGTCACTTCTTCACTTGCAGCCATATTCATCCTATTTCTGGAGGTTCAACACAACTTCTTTCTGGTGCCTTTAATACATTGACTGTGCATGTGGGGTCACAGACCAATAGGGACATCCTCATGGCCACTAGCACCATCACAATTAGAACTTTGACCCTTTCTGTGATAGTGGTAACACTCTGAAGCAATTTCTCTCTGGTGATTTAAAAATGAATTAGAAACCAGTTTTACATGTAAAAAGGTACTAAAACCTGATTATTCTTGTTGTACATTGATACAGCACATTAGAATACTACCTATGATAAGTTATAATGCTGCATGTGGATTTGGAACATCTTCTAAAGAGCGTTTGAAACCCACAAGCCAGGAACTCACACGTACGCTTCTTTAAGCCTCGTCAGGTTTTTGAAAAGCACATTAAACTGCCAATTAAAAATTTTTATTGAACATAACTCCTCAACTTCCATTTTGTCCAAAGACCCTAACTGTCAAACATTACATGTATTGTAAAAAATTAAAGCCTAATTAAACACTACATATGAGATTAAAACATGTCTGGAGGTCTCAATATGTCAAATGTTTTTGACATGATACATATTTTTAAAAGGGATTATTTGTCTTATCTGAATCTAATTTGCATATCAGTAATTCTACTAATTACCCCAGGTAATTAATAGACAGAACAAAGGTTTAATATATCATTGCTATTCACCTAAAATAGACTTAGCTCAGGGCTGGCATATGCAAAGGATATAACATAATAACGGGTGCGACAAATATTAAAGACTTCCAAGTTGAATTTGCTCCCTGCTTTCAGTAATTACCTTGTGTGCTATTTTATCTGCCTGATTAACCTATTTGTTTAAGATATGCAATGCATCTTCAACCCTTTTATATCTACACACAGATCTTGGTTTTTATTCCCCTGTCTTCCCACTGGGACAGTAGGCGAGTAGACTTCAGATAGTTTTTCTCAGCTGTCCAATTGTGTGAATTTCACAGTATCTGGGCAACTAGGCCAGATTCTCTTCTGAATGAGAATGTCATACTCAAGGGGAAAAAAAAACTTGCCCTGCAGCAAACTGCATCTCCAGTTGATTGATATGGCTATGAGGTCTGGAATGAGAACCTGCAAATTATGCATCAATTCTACCGAAAAATTCTACAAGCCCTAACTTGAAATGGCATCAAAATGCTTGCTTTCTCCGTTTAAAGATTATGTTACCTGGGTCTTAGTCTTCTAAAACCATAAACATTAAAGTCATGTAACACCTACAAGCTCAATTGCAATTGCTTCGGTTTTCATGTTCTCAATATCAGGCAGGTGTGCTTTAGCTTGGGCTTTGATGTAACATTTCTCTCCTCCAGCAAAGTGAGTTCCTGTAATTCCCTGTAACACAGAAATGAGTTACTATTAAACACATTGCGTCCACACTTCCTGTCAAGTTGCATTGAAACATGCTACAAAACAAAAACAAAAATTGCATTCACACATTGTTAATTTTGTTCTTATGTCATCGTTTTCTAAGTAGCCAGAGCTCAGCGATACTGCTTATACCCCTCAGTTGGAAGGTTACAAGTACAAGCCCCTAATCAGTGAACTGTCTTGGGCGCTGATCTTATAGGGGATAAATTCTAATGAGGCATATTGTTACAAATGATTTCAATGAAAAGCAAATAAATGTAATTCGTATAGTACAATGTACCAGATTATTATTGACAATGTACTTACAGATAAGTCAAAAACTGGATGGCATACAATAATGGGTTCTCATAATTGAAGACACAGTTATTTGACTTACAGTCTGAAAATCATGAACCTCCACTGCCTCTTCACTGCCACTTCCAGTCCTGAATGTTTCAAGGTTGTTCTCAGTGTCAATTTCCAAAGATCCATCCTTTATCTTTCCATTGATGCTCATGCTATAATGCATATTGTATATCTGCAAACCAATGTTATTACTATGAGAAAATAGTTAAATACAAAGTGCAGACCATCTAGCCTCAGCATTCTGTACAATGCTGCCACATCTGAAACAAAATGAGAAGAGAAAGAGGGACATTTTCTTTTTTAGTTGAGAAAGTGCAAAGGAATGTCAGGTGGGACTGACTATGTCCTAATGGAGATGGACTTCTGCTGTCCCCAAAAAGCATTGGAATACTTTGACACGCTCATGGATTGAGGAGGATGCAGATAATAAAGCACTCTGGAACCATTCATTGGGGCATTCAGGAAATTGCTTAATTTCCCATTTGGCCAATTTGGCTCTGGTCAGTGCTGTGGAGTGCTGTCTGATTTTGCTGTATATTCTTCAGGTGGGCATTAGCTGACATCCAAATGCTAAAGAAGAAAATCTCCATAATTTACGGAGTGAGACTTGCTCTCAGATTTCTCCCAAAAGGCTCTTAAACTAGCTACTAAGCAACATACAACAGCTACTCAGACAGACAGCCTTCTTTATAGTCTTTGTCATTAATGGCGTAAGAAAGCTAAGATCCATTTAACAGTTCCTGTTTGGTTGTGGTCAAAATCAAACTTCAGTGTGGGCAAATGGTATACACAAACCCAAGTCCTGCCAGTTGGTTTTCTTCAGTAAATAAATAGAAATTGGACTTGCCAAACTAATTAGGGAGAATCAAAATGACAAAATATCTTTCAATGTAATGTGTGTAAAAGCTAACCTCTTAACTGTCACATTAACAAAGAGAAAGGTATATTTTATGGACAATGTATTATACAAAGGTATCATTCATCAGATTGCTAGATTAGTAAGCTTGATTTTTTTTTAATCACTTGTTAAGCTGTTAACCAAATAATCTCAGGTTAATATATCAGCAATGTTGATGGAGCAAACATTAAATTAATTTATTTATTTCTCTGGGCAGAATACTGTCCAATGGCAGTTCATCTGAAGCCATAATTTGTGCAAATGTCTATAGAATTGAATGGTTTCTCAAATAAAGTAGTAGATGTTGGCAAGGCTGCCTACTTCCATTTATCTAAACACAGCTGATCAAGAATGACTACTTGCACTGAAGTAAAAACTGGGTGGATGTCCTTGGAAAATCATTCCTTATACTTGAGAGCCCTCACATGAAATCTTCGTAGAGGAAAGTGTCACATAAACCAGATCAGACGGCTGCATGTTCAGAAATTGAAGTGAATTGTCTCAGCTAACAAAAGTCAATTATTTTTCATATCAAAAAGGTTAGTGCTGGACAAAGATTCAGATTCACTACCATTCTCGAAACCATTATCCAGATTAAATAATCAGCACCGGGCTCCATTTATATTTCAAAACATTACTTTAAAGATGTTATTTTTACTACCGTGGTTGTAAAAATCCTTTGAAAGGAATTGAGAATATTTAGTGTGGCATTCATCCAATTTATTGTATGAGTAAGGCCACTCACCCTCATCTTGTTTCATGCATTCAGATAGATCCTAATGCCACTGTACCATTGAATTGACCTTTGAATGGTGCAGGCAGTAAGCCTGGACTCTTATCTGGAAGTTTATACCATGTTAATTGCTCATTGAGACAGATATCGACTTTGTCCAATAGTGTAAAAAATATGTTCATGAACTTGCAACTCCTTTTACATCTCTTTCAACCTTTATTCCCATGCATTAAAATGTGCTGATTCCTCATCACAAAGTGTACACATACCTTTTTGTATCCTGACAAAGCTTCCTGATTTCGGTCTTAAAATTTAGCATTGGTGTAAATTCAGTTCTTTGGTTCTATTCTTAAAGTAACATGTTGGGTTCACTTTTTCAATACTGTTAACAATCCTTTTCACTTCAGTAAGATCAGCTCTCAGATACATTTCTTTCAGGAAAATAAGTTTAACATTCTTCAATTATTCCTCAGAACTCAGTCCCTTACTCTGGGAATCAGACTTATGCTATTGTGCCTCCAGCACCAGAACATATCTTCCTTTCTTGGTGATTAGAACTGAATGCAGTACTCAACATGCAGCCTGACAAAGTGGTATTAAAATTTGACCATTATTCTTCCTGATATTCTAGCATTTAGCTATGTAGTTCAATATCTTATTAGCTTTGATTACTGTACTGTATTAACTAAAGGTGGCCAAATCTTTTTCAACTTCATTCTTAGTCATTTTATTTGTGAGTAAGCGCAGCTATCTTTTCCTTCATGTATGGACAGGTATTTTGTTTGCATCAAAATTTATTACCAATTGGGCTGCCTACTAACAACACATTGTCTAATTCATCTCAATTTCTGAATGCCTTTCCCAACTGTTCTGTTTTTATCATCTGCAAATTTGGCTACTTTATGTACAAGTTTCTGATCCAGGTACTCTGTACAAATTAAGACAACTCTCATCACCAGCTTTGAATACTATCAGTTCACTCCCGTTCCGATTGAGTTCAACATAACTACTATGTTCATTGTCACCTATAATTCAACCTATATCCTATCCAATCTATATATATATCCATACTCTAATTATGCACACCTTTGAATCCAATTAATAAAATCATATATTTTGAAGGTCACAGTGCAACATGCAATGAACTTACTTCATATTTATTCAAGTAGACAAGCAAATTCGTCAAGCAAAATCTTCACTTCCGAATTCACACTGATGATAGTTACATAGCTAATTATTGTACAGATGATACTCCATGTAACACGATAACCAATTCCATTACATAAAAAAAAGGAAGACAAGTCTGTCATTGCCTGTGTCCAATTTGATGCCCATTTTGAATATGGTAAGCACATCAACTTACTTCTGTTTTTCTTGTACATTCACTGTCCAGTAACTCTCTCAATGATTATTAATCAGTGAAATCTCTTCTCTCGCTTCTTTATCTATTCTCCAGAAAATACAATCTATCCACGTCATGGGCTACGGAGACATGTGCGGCAGAATTGGGTGACAAATGTTGCAAGGCCAATTTCGATGTCTTGCTCCATCTTTCATGGTTACCCCGAGCAGCAAGGGGAGATTCTTGGTAGTAAGTAGCAAGATGCCAAACGACAGCGATTAACACTTGTTAAGTATTTTGTTAACAACCACTTGCCTTCTTAATATATAGCCCCCTATCTTATCAAACTCACTAAATGAGCTAGATAAGGGAAACCCCAACATGGAAATCAGACTGGGTACCCAGCAGATTCACCTCGAGCTTGTGTGAATAACCTCAGTGTTGGAAACTGGACACCAACATCTCAGGGGATGCTCCGTGGACACTGGAGGGGTGCATGCCATTGCCATGGACATTTACATCCAACACATACTAGCTTCTAATAATCCTCATGGCATATCTTTGATTTATTTACAGGATGCTCCTGCACTTCAATGCCGCATGGGCAACTATCATTGCACAGTTTCCTTGCTGCACTATTACAATCAGGGACATGAATGCTCGATTGGACCAGGCTGCATTTTCATCCTGTCCACTTGTTCTCATAGTGCTCACTCACTTTGAGCTGACCTGCAGGTGCCATTTTGTGCTTTGGTCCCTCAGCCATAGACGTCATCTTCATGTTACTGCTGTCTTGCCATGTTGTTTATTGCAGACACAAAGATAGGAAGCTTGCCATTGTTGTTGGTAGGTCTCAGTCAAGTCAAAGGGGACAGCCTTTGCTCAGAGCTTCAGTAAGTCTATTCCTAGTGCAGTCCCTGCTCGAGCCTCTCCTCATAAGGGGTGTGGAACCAAATGGTGGGCAGCAATCTATCGGTCTTGACTCTTTCTGCCCCTACTGTGGGCTGTTTACCTCCTGGAATATGAGAGAGTTGGGTATTAAAGGGAGATGAAAGTGGGTGACACAGCTGTTAGTGTTGGTGCTGGTGGGACGGAGGCCTGAGTGAGTGAGAAGGCACAGAGGACATGCATGCAAGGTTAGTGCTATTGGACACTGGGGGAGGTGACAGCAAATGGGGAAAGATGTTACAAGTGATAGTGTGAGTAATAGAGCATGAACTTTGGTGGGAGGTGGGTACAGTAGCAGAGATAGAGCGAGCTTGAGGCACTGCAGAGAATGTGCCAGAACTAATTGTGGCAGATGGCAGAGTGGAGTACATTGACCTTCTCTGTACAGTGTTGGGTATTCCTCCAGACAGTTCAGGTTGCACTAACTGGGTGGCAACCTCAGACCAAGCTGGCATGGTTTGGTGTTGTGGCTTCCACTGCTGGCCCCAGGTGAGGAAGTCCCTCATTGGCACCACTTGTCCAGCAGGATCTCCAGGATGCCAATTTCTCCCCATTCTCCATATCTGGAAAAAGTGACAGCAACTCTGCACGCAGCTCCAGACTGAGAGCTTGTTCGGGTGACTGGGAAATCTTTAACAAAAAAGGTGGTGTGGACTCAAGAGATGCTAGTCAATTCCAGGATATATATTGATTGGGAAGTTGTTCCAGGAACAACAGGTGGCAAGATAGAGTGGAAAATCGGTTGAGAGACATCATGGAGGCCATGATAGATAATTAATGAGGCAGGTTTGCTATGATATGGCAAGAGACCTCTCTAGGGCGTGTAGTGACAAATCCTCCAAGAGACTCGACAACCCTGGCTTAGACAAAAGTAGTTAGATTCAGCCCCATATATTTGTATTAAACCCGATTAACTGATTCCTATTTTATTTGTTATTCAGTCTGATTTTACTTGGGATATATTGGTTTGGAGAAGACGTGATGTTCATGATTTGCGTTGTGAATATTTAGAGAAAGTAGCCATTTGGAATATTTAATATTTCATGCTCAGTATGAGTTTGAAGCACAGTGAATCTTTTGTGGTTTTCACCCCTTGCTGTTATTGTGTAGAAATATACAATTGAAAATTCTTCTGCATAGCTTCAGCTACGACACCCATCATCATTCCCCACCCTGAACACTTGTTTTCTCGAATCACCTTCATCGAAATTTTTTTTGTAACCATCCTGAGGAGCCCCTTCTTTCTCCCTT